CATCTACATCCCAGCTATAAGCAAAATACACAATATGCCCACCTGACTAAATCCATAATATGGATTATATTATTAATCTTATTATTATAATGTGGATTATATTAATATAAATCCATAATATTATATTAAATATATATTTTATAAAAAAACTCGGTAGCAAGACTTGAATTGAGTTCCAATTCGCAAGAGACAATTTTTAAGATTTTGTTTTAATAATTAAAATATTTTTAAGATATTGAAATGTTTACATATTTATAAAAACTAACCTACTTACTGTAAACATACTAATTTTTACCTTTAGTAAAAACTTTGTTAAATAAACAAAAACTAAAATAATATATTATTAAATTGTGCATAATTTTCTAAAAACAGTTTACACACCAATTTCTGTCATTTAAAAGTGTCAAATAGTTTGAAGTGTCCAAAAATGGATTGTTCCGTTGGAAAATTAATTAATAAAAAATGTCATACAAAATATTATTCGCGATTTTCCAAGAGTGAATCTTGTACTAAGCTAGTGGATTCAACTGTAACCGATATTTGTACGTAGGTATCACAAATGAAAGTATCTACATTATTTTACCAAAGTGTTTGGTGAAGCCTGCTGCAATCCATAAGTCGTTAATTTATTCCTCTTCATAGACATTATACACATAAGAAAATTTTCCGATTAATATAACTTTTTAGAGGTAAATAATAGTAAATAGGTTTTTTTAGGTGATTGTAAAAGTTAAGAATATGATTTGTTTAGTTTAATTATATGCAGTTAAGTTTAATTTAAATTTAGGATTTAATACCTGTTTTATTTTGTCTAAACATAAAGTTTATGAAAAGTATGTCTTTTAGTCATTAAATTAATTTTTTGAACATTAGATTATGTTTTCTTAATTTAAAAAATTGGTAGTTAATTTTTGACGCCACTGTATGTGGTTTTTATATTTTATATTTTTATACAGAATGAATGAGAAGTCGAGTTATTTTAAAGATATAATCGAGGGGTCACCCACACCTGGGAATCCCTGGACATTTTAGAGGGGGAATACCATAGGAATACAATGGAAATACATAGGAATACAATAAAATATAATGGAAATACATGGGAATACCTGGACGTTTTCCCTTTGGGTGGTTGACCCCTCGGATTTAATACGCTTTTTCGAAATATATGGTTAATATATGGATTTAGTCACAAGTGGACATATACATTCATAGACTAATAAGTGCCTGTGATTATAAGCATAAATTGATTTAAATCGACTCACTCAAACATTGCCTTTTTAAACCATGAATTGGCTGAAAATAGTGATTTTTCGAAAACATGAATTTTAAATATATTTTTTTTAACTCTAAGTCGGTTTTATATGAAAATGTTTTTATTGCTTTTAAATAGAGTAAGATCTTTGGTAACAAACTACATTAAAAAAATTTTGCTGGCAATATATGAATTTATAAAATTAGACAATTTTGCCAAAAAATTGCATTAATTATTAGCAAAAGAAGAACAATTTTTTAAAGTTAGGTCTGCACAATAACTTTTGCGTAGCCCTGTATAAATAGGTGATAGGGGGAGAAAAGAAAAGGGAAGTTTTTTCACTTCTTGCGTCCTTGAATATTTACAGTTAAAAAAGAAATAAAATTAGAGTATATGAGGTGCACTCATTGGTAGCTACTAAATGGAATTACCCTTACAAATCCTAACAAATTTAATAAAGAACTAAACAAGTTTTTAATAACTATGTCCTTACGGGCCTGACGATTTATTTGAGCTAGTGCTTTGTTTTTTTTCTGATTTTTTGATTGTTTTTATACTTTTAATTTTGTTTTGTACAATCTTGTGCTTTTTGTAATGTTTATACATTATGTGTTTGACCTATCCTATAAATACTATTGTATTTCGTTTGGATCAATAAAGATTATTATTATTATTATTAAGAAAAAAAAACAATATTATTCAATAGGAGTAAATTGGATTTTTTTAAATAAATCATCGTTTTATTAGTGTTTATTTTTAAGTATGTTAAAGTATAGTTTGGTTTGGTTTAAATTTGTTTAAAAAAAAAATCGGCCATTAAATAAATTTTTAAGTCGCTTACTTTAGTCGCTGGCTTGCCGACAAATGAACAAAAATGTGTTGGTAGGTCTCGTGTGTACCAGAAATGGATACAAATTTTGTTTTCACCGTTTATACGTTTATCAGCAACAGTAAAAAAAGTTGTTCGTAATTTAATTTTCTATTCTATATTTATTGGTAAGTTTAAAATTAACTCTTGAGTTATGCACGTGTAATAAAAACGAATCTTAACCTTAAATCTAATTATTTATAAAGTATATTTATTGGTAAGTTTAAAATTAACTCTTGAGTTATGCACGTGTAATAAAAACGGGTGACGTTTACAATATCGAAATTCATTATATCGAATTCAAAGTATCGAACAATTTTTATCGAAAATCAAAATATCGAAAATACAAAATGTCGAAAATCAAAATATCGAAAATTCAAATTGTCGAAAATGATAATATCGAAAATTAAAATGTCGATTTGAAAATGTCGAATAATTAAAGGTAGTGTCTCCCCGACCGTCGAACGGACGTAGAAAAGTGTGTGATCGACCGTTGGACGGACGTAGAAATGTGTGTGCTCAACCGTTGCATATTTAAACCTCATTTTCAACTAGAGGCTAAATGTAGCAAAGTATTCCTCAAGGTTATGACGAATAGCTGTCATTTTGGTTATGCAGGTACACTGCATTGTGCCATACCAAACTAACCCAAACTTAACAACCCAACCCAACTGACCCCGCCCCATTGGGCCCCTCCCGCCCCATTGTCACAATCCAGCCTGCCCTTAGATATATTATACCTCTATTGCTCAATGGGGCGGGAGGGGCCCAATGGGGCGGGGTCGGTTGGGTTTGGTTGTTAAGTTTGGGTTGGTTTGGTATGGCACAATGCAGTGTACCTGCATAACCAAGATGACAGGTACACTGCATTGTGCCATACCAAACTAACCCAAACTTAACAACCCAACCCAACTGACCCCGCCCCATTGGGCCCCTCCCGCCCCATTGTCACAATCCAGCCTGCCCTTAGATATATTATACCTATATTGCTCAATGGGGCGGGAGGGGCCCAATGGGGCGGGGTCGGTTGGGTTTGGTTGTTAAGTTTGGGTTGGTTTGGTATGGCACAATGCAGTGTACCTGCATAACCAAGATGACAGCTATTAGTCATAACCTGTATGAGAGCGGTCGAGATTTTATTTTCGATAAATTGAAAATTTGATTAAATAAAATTTCCATATTTTCATTTTGACATTTTGAATTTTCGATATTTTGATTTTCGACATTTTTTATTTTCGATATTTTGATTTTCGATAAAAAGTGTTCGATATTTTGAATTCGATAAAGTGAATTTCGATATTATGAACGTCACCCAATAAAAACGAATCTTAACCTTAAATCTAATTATTTATAAAGTACCTATGTCAAACGTTTAGACTTAAATACCCAAAAAATGTATGACGTTGTTTTAGTAGTTGTTTTCATACTTTTCCATTATTTTTATAGTAATTTTAAGTTTTTACATTCGCAATCCGAAATCACCACATCTAAAATTTTTTTTTAGCTAGTTTTGTAATTACTACTTTGCTGTTACGCCAAATACTAAAAATTTAATTTCAATTTAAACAAAGATACATGTTTATTTTCTTAAAAAATCACTTAAATATCTCTTTAGTTTTCCAAATATACATAAATTGATTGATTGTTTAAGAATTAAGTGTACTTTTTTCAAGGGCATAAAAAACTACATGGAAGTACCTCTATCAAAAATACATAAAAAAACTTGTTTAGGTGGCAGGTTCCACTTGTTTTAACTTGTTTAGGTGGCAGGTTTCACTTGTTTTATAAAAGTATCATCGGTACTAAATGTTATATTTTTTATTAGTTTAATGGTTTAATATTAAAATAAGGTTTATTTATTTGAATTGTTTGTGATATTTCATTAAACTTTAATTGCCAAATTCAAAATATTGTATTTACCCATTCGATTTTAACGGCCGTATTATCAATTAACAGCAACCAATTCAGAAGAAAAAATATACATACAGATATATAGGTAACATGCAAGTATTCGTTTAATGATAAGTTTTTTTTGCAAAATAGATTTAAACCTTAATATAGCTTAAATAAAAATTTATTTATTTATAATAAAACCATTAAATATAGCCCATAAGTATTATTAGTATTATTATTATTGGTATTATTATAATTATAATTAATTGCAATTATTCTTGTTCTACCTATACTACAAGAATTATTAATATACAATCTATCCTTGTATAATACATTATTAAATTAAAAATTAGTACCTATAGGTATAGTGTTAATAAGGATTACTATAGTGTTAATAAGGATTAGTTTAATTTAATAAAAAAGTATTTTTTAGAAAAAAATGTGCAGGATTTTTAAATAATCGAATATTATATTATAATTAACATTCACAAATATAGAAAATATGCATGTTTTTTAAATATTTTAAAATAAATTTATTTGCTTAAATATCATTTTCCAAGTTTTGGGGACATTTAAACGAATTAACGGAGTATAATTAGGATGTTTACTTTTACAATTATTATATATTTATTTTTAATGTTTTAGTAAATATTAAATTAATTTTATATTTAATATAATATTGGATTAAATACTATAGGTAAACTATAAGTGAAAAGAAGAAAAAATATCAAGACTCTATATTAATACCTGCTGTGCCCCGATTGCAAACATCATTGGGGTAAGATCTTCTGCACATGTCTAGTCTGTAAAAAATACATTCATTATTTTTATCCCATCAATATTAATAAACCAATCGAATGTTAATTAATTACTTAAGTAGCTTGTTAGGTATGTTTAAATTAGTTATTTTTAATATATGCAGTGTTTATAATTAAATTAGTATCAGCTTTTTATACAGGCTTTAAAAAAATGTTGAACAGACATTACCAGCTGTTCCTTTTGTGCATCGTCCACCCTTTCTACGGCGACACATGTCGTATCTATAAAGGTAATGAAAGATAAAAAACAACGGCTTTTTAATGATTAAAAAAAAATGTTATTTATATGCAATGTACACAAATCTGAAAAGTAGAGTTTCATTTGAATTCTGGGAGCGATGTCAAATTCGTTAAATTATTTAGTTTATTTGGATAATAATATTATTGTTAAAAAATATAATGTTTAAACTAAATTACAATTTTTTCGTATACAAAAAAAAACTTTTTAATATTTTTTGTCCAAGCAATTAATAATTAATATAAATATTTTTACGATTTCGGGTTTCGGCAAATTTCACTTTAACTGTCATGTTTCCCTTTCGCGTCTATTCCATATATTGATTTATTTCCGCCAGCTCTTAACTTTTATTTTACTCTTCGGATTGGGTGGGATTCTATAAACTATTTTATTATTTTCTTTTAATAACTTGTTAGGGTACAGAAGTCAACCATAATTTGCCTTTAATTCATATCTGGTTACTGACTCATAAAAACGATACACACAAACACGGTATGTTCACTATTGGAGCCAAATTTTGTCCGCCACGCGCACGTTCATCACATTCGAAGTAAGAAACTTGATAATGCATTGTTTAATGATATAATTTTGTTATTATTATGTTTATTGTTATTATTATTTTATTATTAATTTAATAGATAATATACATATTTTTTATTTCACTTTCGTAATAAAAATGTTTGCTGAGTGAATTTTTATTACTTTTTATACAAAAAAATAAACAGGGTATTTCTACTCAAAGTGGATAATAAAGGTTGTGGATGTTATAGAAAATAATTAATGAGTTTAACATTTTTTTAAATAAATATTTTTCATTTGAGCTTTTATTTTCGTTTATTATATATTTTTAAATGTTTAACATAAAAATTGAAGGTTGAAATTTAATTAAAATATCAAAACACTTATTTTTTTTAAATCCTCCCATAAAAAAGGTTTACGTAAAAACAAAAACAAAAGCTTAAATGAAAAATATTTATTTGAAAAAAGTGTTAGTCTCGATGAGATCCTTATTGGGTCGTCAATTTTTAGTAGAAACCCCTGTATTTATAACATTGATGTTTTCCTTACCGAGGTCACAATATGACATCTTAGAGAAATCAATTTTAGGAGCTAAAGATTAAGAGCTCAAGAGTTAAACACCTTAAATTATCTTTATTTTACCTCTTATTTAAAATTAATTAAAAGCCACAAAATGGAAAAGTCATTAATAAAAATTATGTGTTCAACGGTAAATAAATTCTTAGTTCTATGGTAAATAAACCAAATATTTGCCTTGAGCAGAAACCTGATAACACATAGTTAGACCACGCCCACCGGACGGTACGGTACGACTATGCACCAATTACTTTAGTATCACCGCTGTAACTATATTTGTTTGATTCATGAAGCTGCTAAGTAGAATTTAAAGCGTGCTTCACACCAATACTAATAATATTTTAATACCAAAAATAAAGTAATTGATAGTAGGGTTGATTTAAAAAATTGGTTTTACAAAAATGTTTTGATAAAATTTTAAATAAATTGAGCGAATTTGCCGAGAAAGATTCAGGGTGGCTGCACATTTTAAAAATTTTAAACTTGGAAATAAACATTAATAAATACGAGGTGGGAAAGGGTTCGTCTTACATTAAACTACCTGAACAGATCGCGAGAAAGCACGCTTGTGTTAATGTCAACAATTTTGATAACGGCTGTTTTGGATGGTCGATAGTATCGGCTCTATATCCTGGGAATATCCCTGTATATAGAACCTAGTAAGATTTTTTTAGACTGGTGTAAAGTCAGCATAAAAAACATAAGAGGAAAATATTTATTTGCGATCGTTGTCTTAATTATTTTTTGAGTAAAATAAAAATGAATAAACATGAAGAATACTGTCAAAAATTAAACAAGTGTAAGGAAGATTTTGTAAAGTTTGTATGCTGACTTTTTTAACTATACACATTCTGTACCTATTTATCTGTAACTTACTTTTTATACTTATTATTATACTTTATACAACTTTGTATTTTATAGCAATGCTAATAAATATACATTATTTTTATTATTACTTTTATTTTGATAATGATAATACAATTCATTATAATTTTACCACAGCGACAATATTTTTTATCACGTTGCTAAGGATTTTGACACTTTTCTTGATTTGACAACAACCCCAGTGAAGAGTCCTATTTCGGATATTAGAACATCTGCATTTGACCTTACAAGTAAATTTGTATCGTCAGCAAAATTTATAATACTTTGACACGGCTTTGTCACTGTACAATTCAAATCATTTAAATATATTACAAACATGACAGGGTTTGAGGGTTTGAAATGACAAGAAATATCAAGATCCGTTGGTTTCTATTTGAGAGGTATGACTGCATCCTCAGCAATGCTTTTCCCCTCACTCCATATTTCGGAAGTTTATTTAAAAATAATTTATGATTAAGGCAATCATAGGCTTTCGATAGGTCTAAAAATATACCCATACAGTGATCGTTTTTGTCAAAACTCGATAATATTTCGTGAGCAAAGTTGTGCACCGCAGTTTCTACAGACCTACCTCTCAAATAGCCATGCTGACACTCACTAAATAAGTTATGTTTATTAAAAAATGCAACTAGACGATTTGTCATTACTAAATCAAAAATGTTTGAAAACGAAGATAGTAAACTGATTCGTCTATAGCCATTAAAGTTGGATCACCCTTTTTAAGGAGGGGTTTTACTAAAGCAGTTTTCAGCCTTTTAGGAAAGATACCACATTGTAAAGAATTGTTCACAATGAAGAAAATAGGACAACATATATTGTTTGCACATAATTTAATTATGCAGGTGGGAATTTCGACTATTTCGCTGCTTTGTTTGTTTTTTAATTTTTTTATTATTGTTAGTATTTCAAACTGCGTTACTGGCATTAAAAACATTGAATTTTCATTTATATTTATATTACCTCCATTGGGACTCACTTTTTTGTTTTGTTACAAATCTGGTACTGCATTTTTTTTAATATTAAACTCATTTGCAATATTTAAAATATCACCGGTTAGTTGAATATTATTAACTTTTTATTTCCTTTAATATCATTTATTATATTCCACACGGCTTTATTTTTGTTATCAGAGTTGTTTATATCATTTGAGTATTTATTTTTTCTAAAATCTCTTAATTAATTAATATATACAGTGGTTTTATTATATTCTTCAAGGTAATTATTATCGCAATATTTCATTACATACAGAAAGTCTAACTTATTTTTACAGTATTTTATTTGTTGATTATCATACAAACAATTTTTATTTTTTACTTGCAATATTTTTTTAGAAAAACAAAGATTAATAAGTGGTACAAAAAGATTCATAAAGGTACGATTTACATAGTTAATTGGACATAAAAAAATGCAGTTCCAGTATGTTCATTCAACTAAGATAAGAAAGATTGTCTTTTTAAGATACTTTCTTTTTGTGCCTTTATAATTTTAATACTAAATATAAAATATAATATATAATATTATAAAATATTATATATGCAAGAACAAACTTAAAATTGCTGTCCACCTCACTCATACACGAGTTGATGTGCCACTCGTACTACTCTGCGACCCATCAAACGCCGTTCTTGATCAGGATATTAACGGCAAACTTCCACCGTTAAGCTTCTTCTTCAGAAAGTTGACAGAAAAACTTGGCGAGGTGTAGGTTCAATTTTTTCTTATATTCTTATGAATATTACCAGTGATGGGTCAAGAAAGTTTCTTAAAGAAACTAAGAAAATTGAATGTTTATCTGTATCATTTATCAAGCAGTCTTTTAAATCATTTAAATAAATAATAAATAAGAGAGGTCCAGCAATGCTACCTTGTGGTATACGTCTTAAAATATTGGCATGAAGAAGTAAATACTTGTGAATCTTGTTCAACAACAACCTTTTGACATCTTCCCGAGAGGTAGGATCGAAACCACTGCAGTGGTAAACCCCTTACTCCATAGTTGTATAGTTTGCTTATTAAAATATCGTAATTTAAGATGTCATAAGCTTTGGACAAGTCTAAAAACATCCCTAGCGAAAGCATTTTATTTTCAAAATTACTAACTATTTTCTGAAGAAAGTGAAACACTGCAGTTTCAATCGATCTACCCCTCAAAAAACCATGTTGGGCTTGGCTAAACAAAGAGCATTTATTAAAGAAATTTACAAGCTTTTCACACATTGCTGTCTCTAAAACCTTTGAGAATACAGGCAGTAAACTAATGGGTCTATACTGTCCGTTCAGGCTAAGTTGAGTGGTCTAAGGAATGTCACCCCATCTCTATGTTCAGGCACAATTAAATACATGTATTTCAGTAGCCGCTCTGTACGAACAAACGGCAAGCCGCGCCACTGATAAATCATCTTCTTGTTACCGAAATCTCGCGACGATTCGATGTTTAATTTAATTAACGGCCACATTATCCCCCACCAAAGCGCTCAACTTAGCCTGAAGGGACTGTAATTCTCAATGCATGTAGGGTCACCCTTCTTATACAGAGGCCTAACAATTGCGACTTTCAGTCTTTCTGGAAAAATTCCGTTATTAAGGGAAATATTAATAAGGTAACATAAAATTGTTGACAATTTAAACACACAAAACTTTATAACAGTAGCTGGTATTTCATCAAACCCACTTGATGACTTATTTTTAAGATTATTAATAATATTTACAAGACCACTTTTACTCACGGATTCAACATAAAATGATCTTCTGTTCATCTCAATTCTACAGGAAAACTCCTCCCGTGGCAGACCTGCAACCAATTTGGGAGCTGCATTGATAATAAAATTATTAAAATTATCAACCACTTCTTTCATATCGCCTGGAACTTTGTTCTCAATATTTCTGTTTTTACCATTGAGGTCTTTAATTATGTTCCATGTTGTTTTTTATTTATTTTGGGCATTTTTAATTTTATTTTCATAGTATTTTATTCTGGATGTGGATAATAAGTTATTGTACCTCT